CACTGCACTCCAGTCTGGGCAACAGAGTGAGACTCCAACTCAAAAAAAAAAAAAAAGATCTTACTATGTTGCCCAAGCTGACCTTGAAGTCCTAGGCTCGAGCAATCCTGTGTCCTCAGCCTCCCAAGTAGCTGGGACTAGAGGCATGTGCTACTATGCCCAGGGAGATGGTTTTAAAGATACTACCACTCCTAAACTTTCTTAAGAAAATTACACCTTAATTTCTTTAATTCATATAGATGTAGTCCGGGCTTGGTGGCTCAGCCTGTAATCCCAGCACTTTGGGAGGCCGCGGTGAGTGGACTGCCTGAGTCCGTGGGTTCGAGACCTGCCCCACACCCCCTCACACACACATACACAATACAGATGCACATACACAATCCAATTCTATAATTCTAAAAAATAAAACACCTCAAAAAATAATTGGGCTGAGATCTGAAGACATTGCTGTTTAAGGATGGATTCATTCATTTGGTCACACATCTGGTCACACATAATTAGGGAAGGTGATAAATGTCTTGGCTGTTGTCTTTGCTAGCATTGCTTCTTTTTTATTACTTCTTCAATTTGTGTACATTTGTACCTAAAATGTACAACTTTCAATTTTCAAGAATTTGTAAATAAATAAATAACCAATTTTGACACAAATCAATTTCAGCTTTTTTTTAGAAAATCCTGTGATTTTACTATTTATTTAGTTAGTGATATAGGAGTCTTGCTATATTGCAGTGACTATTCACATTGCAATCATAGCTTACTGCAGCCTCGTACTCCTGGGTTCAAGCAATCCTTCTGCCTCAGCTTCTGGAGTAGCTGGAACTACACCCACACACCACTGTGCTCAACTTGTTATTTACTTTTTTTTTTGGCCCTCTGATCCTGGTTTCCAGCTCCCTTCCACCCCCCGTCCAGAAATGTCTTCCGTGCTCCCTTAGGCTCCCTTGGGTGCCAAACAGAAGTGTCACGGCAGAAAGCACTGTGAGGAAGAGCACGGGATTGCCCTGGGTCAACAGCGTGCTCGGGCAGCTGGAGGCTGCAGCCATCCTTCACTTTTGCTTAGGGGGTATCTGTAATGAAGACGCTCCAAAGTGCTTGCAGTCCATGGGAGGTTAAGGAAATAATTACCTGCATAGAAATCCCGTAATTTACTTTTTAAAAATCTATTTCAGGCTGGGCACAGTGGCTCACACCTATAATCCCAGCACTTTGGGAGGCAGGTGTGAGAGGATTGCCTGAATCCAGGGATTCGAGATCAGCCTGGGCAAGTTGTTGAGACCTTGTCTCTACAATAAATCAAAAAACTACCTGGGTGTGGTGGCATGTGCCTGTGGTTCCAGCTTCTTGGAAGACTGAGACGGAAGGATCACCTGAACCTAGCAGGTCGATGCTGGGGTGGCCATGAGTGTGCGTGCCACTGCATTACAGCCTGGGCAACAGAGTGAGATGCCAACTCAAAATAAAATAAAATAAAATAAAAATCTATTTCATGAGATTAGAGAAGGATGTGAAAGGAGTACATGAAAGGAAGGCTCTAAATTGTTGAGCTAAAAGCATGGAACCAACCATGCTGCCCACTGAAACTGGACTGGATAAAAAAAAAAATATGGGAGATCGGGCGTGGTGGCTCATGCCTGTAATCCCAGCACTTTGGGAAGCCCAGGTGAAAAGATTACCTGAGCCCACGGATTCAAGAGCAGCCTGGTTAACTTCGCGAGACCTCATCTCTACAATAAATCAAAAAATTAGCCGGTCGTGGTGGCATGTGCCTGTAGTTCCAGTTACTTGGAAGGCTGAGGCGGAAGGATCACCTGAGCCCAGCAGGTCGAGGCTGCAGTGGATGTGACGATGCCACTGCACTCCAGCCTGGGCGACAAAGTGAGACTCCAACTCAAGATAAAATAAAAAAGTGTGGTACACATACACAATGGAATACTATGCAGCCATAAAGAAGGACAAATATATGGACTTTGCAGTAACTTGGATGGATTTGGAGTCTATCATACTCAATGATCTATCACAGAAACAAAGAACAGAGTCCCATATGTTCTTACTCATAACCGGACGTCGAACAATTATCATAATACTAGAAGAAAGGGATTGGCAGTTGTGGTAAACTGTCTGGGGCAGGGGAGTGGGATAGGCAGTTGAGGGAAACTGCCAGGGAAGAAGGGGCACACCTCATCAACAAGGGTATCTGCATAGTGAACATTTGTGTACCTAACCCTGAATTGTATCCCACATCTTTGAAATTAAAATTTTTTTTTAAATTGCTGAGCTGGAGAGTCTTTTTTTCCTTTAGAAAAACTCAGCTCTTACCTTTTGAAGACAGAGGTGGCTTACTGCCAGTGATTTGACTAGTTGGAAAAGCACCTCATCCACCCTTTCATATTGTCTGAAAGTCAAATTGTCAACGTTGCTTATTTTATTTAAGGTAGCAATTTTCAAACAGTCTGAACATCTTGGTAGAATGGGTAAGGGGGTGGTTTTTTAAGTTTGAGACAAATTTAGTGAAATAGTGTTAAATTTTATTTTGTTTTTGAGTTCAAGTCTCACTCTGTCACCCAGACTGAAGTACAGTGGCACGCTCACGGCTACCGCAGCCTCAACCTGCTGGGCTCAGGTGATCCTTGCACCTCAGCCTTCCAAGTAGCTGGAACTATAGGCACGCGCCTCCCACAAGTCTAGGCCATCTTAATAATTCTCACAGCTTTAAATGTGCTTGTTATATTTCTAAGAAGGTGATTTTACATCGACTCCCTCAAGGATCTTTATGTTTCTTGGACCATACTTTAGGAATAGCTGGTGTAATGTATTGTCTCCAAGACTGCATTTGGGTAGGATTCCACCAAACTGATTTAAATCAATAAGGAACTAGATACCCTCATGCAACAAGAATTCCAGAGATAGATTGTCTAGGCTGGTACAGTACCTATTTGATGTCTAGGAACTAGGTGGCTTCTATATTTCTTGCTCTGGCATTCATAGTATGTATGACTTACCTTGTGGCTTCAGGGTGACTGCTATGCCATCAGGCATCATATCTGCATTCTGGGCAAGAAGAATGAGGAAGACTTGAGGAAAAAATGCAAAGGACTTGTCCATAGTGAGACTTTGTCTTTTTTTTTTTTTTTGAGTCAGGGTCCTACTCTATCACCCAGGCTGGTGTGTAGTGGAATGATCACAACAATCACAGCTCACACTGCCTTGACCTCCTAGATTCAGGCAATCTTTCCACCTCAGCATTCCAAGTAGCTGGGACTACAGGCATGCACCACCATGCCCAGCTAATTTTTTTTATTTTTTTGTAGAGGCATGGTTTTGCTATGTTGCCCAGGAGGGCTCAAGCAATCTACCAACCTTGGCCTCCCAAGTTGGCTGGAGTGCAGTGGCACGCTCAGGGCCACTGCAGCCTCGACCTATTGAGCTTAGGCAATCCTTCTGCCTCAGCCTTTCAAGTAGCTGTAACTACAGGTGTGCACTACCACACCCGGCTAAGTTTTTGATTTATTGTAAAGACGAGTCCTCACAAGTTGCCCAGGTCTTTCTGTATAAGTTAGGAAGTGCCTAACTTATCCCAGTACAACATATTTAAAGTTTCCCAGGTCTCACCAAGTTGTCTCGACCCCTTGGGCTCAGGCAATCCTCTCACCTTGGCCTTCCAAAATGCTGGGATTATAGGTGTGAGCCACCGCGCCCAACCTGGTCCCTTGTTGATTGAAACATGTGGCACTGTATTTGTACATGACTGTACTTGAGGGCATCAAAGAAAAGGAGAGTGGAAGTGACTTTGTCTTTAGCCTTAGTAAAAGAATCCCTCTCACTCCCAAAGCCCTGTAAGTCCTCGTTCTTTTTCTTGCAGGTGCTTCGCATGATGGTTGGAGTGAATATCTCAGATGAGCAACTGGGAAGCATCGCAGACAGGACCATTCAGGAGGCTGATCAGGATGGGGACAGTGCCATATCTTTCACAGAATTTGTTAAGGTTAGTCAGTCATTTCTCTATTTGAAGAAGTTCAATTCTACTGCACAAGAGGGAGGGGGAAGCCATTACAATTCAGGGAAGAGCTTGGGAGTCCTGTAACCTTCATAACTGTTACTGGGTTTCCCCCCGCAGGTTTTGGAGAAGGTGGACGTAGAACAGAAAATGAGCATCCGATTTCTTCACTAAAGGACAGAGACCAAACTGTTCCTTTTGGTCTAGTATTTAAGAACTGGAACTTGACAGTCCTCCTGTCCACCAGCCCCACCTCCACCCCATGATTCCCCTTTTCCCAAAGTACTACTGCTGTTGCATGACAACCCCAAATATGTTCTGTCAACACAAACCTGCCTTTGGTGTATAAACAGGGCATTACAGAATGGTACACCCAGTCTATTTCTGTTCAGTATCCATTCACCAGTTCTCCATTTATAAATATCATCTTCTTCTGTTCTGCTGCTGAATGCCACACATCCATCCAGTCTGAGGAAGTGAGAGAGGGAATCATGCCAAGAACAAGCCAGCAAAGCTCTTCCACTGGATGTAGACTGTAGCCGTGCTGCCTTCCCGCCAGTGAGGCCTCGGCATGCTTTTTCAACCCTTCTTATATGTCCTTTGCTTCCTGCTTCTCTGTTACCTGACATACCATTCACTTAGTCTTGCAGTCTCCCTGCTTTTCATTGAGCCTCAAATTCTCTGTTCTCCGTAGTGCTGCAAGCTATGCCTGTTCTATGTATTTCTGACTTGGCAGAATAGTTCAGTGGTCTGGCAGTTTGTATCTACCTTTATTATTAAATGAGTCCCTGGACTGTTGCCTCTCCAGGAACTTTTTGATAACCAGCACTTCTCTTAGAAGAATGAGACCATCTATTGGTCTTCAGCACTCCGCTCTGACATCAGAGGCAACCCGGTGATGTCCTTTGTGAAAGATGGCCTTGGTGAGAGGTGTAGAGCCAAGTCTTCTAGGTTGCTTGCCCAGGTCACTCTGCTTCTGGTCTCTGATTCTCAGTTGATGCCCCTAGAGCTCCTCTTGTTAGTACAGTGTTGACTATTCAGAAAGTAACCATTTTTGCAGGTTTGCTTAGTTTTAGGACACTGGCACCACTAGAATTGTTGCTCTGACCATGTGCTTGGGGACTTTCTCATGGCTTTTTGAACAAGGAGCCTGGGCGCCCTATAAAGCCTCTTGTAGTCACACCTCTGCAGCATGGTTTATGCCTCAGTGTTATGTGCTGGAATGTTTTTTCACTTCACCTTTCCAAATAGAAAGATTAGTATAATGGAAGTGCCTAACTTATCCCAGTCCAATATATTTAAAGATTGTCTTCAATGTCTTGAAGTTTTGCACAAAATTCCTTATGAATTTACACTTGGCAAATGTTAATGCTGGAAGCCATAGTCAGTTTATATTAAGTCCAAAGCATTGACTGTACTATATCATTAGCTGCCTGGTTATATCAGCTTCCTAACTCCTTGTGTAGACCACTGCTAATCCCTTAGAAACAAGGGGTCTGGCACTGGTGACACAACCCAAGGTGGCATTACAGGTCTTTGAGCAAGCCACAGCAACTTCTCTGCCGAAGTCAGCTTAGTTTAGACTTCAAAAAGTCAGGCTGTTTCCATCCTAATGTATGTCTGTATGAGTCTATTCATCCATATATCTGCCCTCGGCTGACTTTCTCTGACTCATTGCTTGCTTGCTTGCTTGTTTCCTTGTTTTCTTGCTTTGGATGACTAAGATGTGTGCATAATTCTTTAGGAAGGGGATTGCTAAAATATACCACTGCAAAGGAATCGGGAAGGATGGAGAACAGGGGAGTGGCCAGGCTAGATGACTCAACTCTAAATGAATAAGGGATTCTTTATGAAGTATCAGTCTGATTTTGTGATCAAGTGATGTAATATAGGAATTGTATAAAAGGGAAGAATTGTCTGATACTGATCTGTTTAGAGAGGTACTTCAGAGGCTCCTTGATTTGCGTATTTAAAGTTCCTAAGATTATGGCTTTTCCCCATTTTGGCTGTATAGCAAACTGTTTTAATCCACGGTCGTGCCTTATTGTTCCATTGAAATTGTATCTTTGGTCCATCAATAAATACTTGTGGGTAAAACAAAATAAGCTGGTTGGTTTTGTCTTTGTGTTTTACACAAATTTTATATAATTCAGTCCTTTCTTCAAGTTCGAAATCACAAATATCGTCTCCCTTACTCAAGTTTATGTCTCTGCTGTCAGCTTCAGGTCTACTTTCCTGCTGCCTGCACATATGAAATGGATTCATTCATGTAGGGGCCAGCACTGTCTGCCTCTAGCCACAGTTTTGTTAGACTCAGTCACTTCTCATTCATTTCAGGTAAGATTTAATTTCTGTTTTTGTCTCCCCCACTTCTTAAATGTAAAAAAGGAGTTTAACTTGGTGGTGCACATCTGTAGTCCTAGGTACTTAGGAGGCTGAGGTGGGAGCATTTGAGGCTGGAGTGAACTATAATTGCGCCACTGCACTCTAGCCTGGGTGACAGAGCAACACCCTTCTCCAAATAATAAATAAATGAATCTTTTAAAAAAGTATTAGCGGCTGGGGTCGGTGGCTCAGCCTGTAATGTCAGCACTTTGGGAGGCCAAGGTGAGTTGATAGTCTGAGCCCACAGGTTCGAGACCCACCCTGGCAACTTGGCGAGACCTCGTTTCTACAATGAATCAAAAAAAATTAACCGGGTGTAGTAGTGCACACCTGTAGTTCCAGCTACTTGGAAGGCTGAGGCAGAAGGATCGCCAGAGCCCAGCAGGTTGAGGCTGCGGTGGCCAGGAGTGTGCCACTGCACTCCAGTCTGGGCGACAGAGTGAGACTCCAACTCAAAAATAATAATAATATTAAAAAAATAAAAATAAAAACGTATTAGCTGGGTGTGATGGCACATACCTGTAGTTCCAGCTACTCGGAAGGCTGAGGCGGAAGGATCGTCTGAGCCCAGCAGGTCGAGGCTGCAGTGGCCGTGAGTGTTCTACTGCCCTCCAGCCTGGGTGACAGAGTGAGACTCCAGTCAAAAAAAAATTTAGATAAGCCTTAAAATGGAGTCTGTCTTCCTTGTTATTAAGTTGCCCACCTCTTCATGTGTAGCCTCAGTGATATACTCTACTTTCACATTTTCTTTCTTTTTTTTTTTTGAGTTCTAGAGTCTCATTCCGCCTCCCAGGCTAGAGTGTAGTGGCATGCTCATGGCCACCCCAGTATCGACCTGCTGGGCTCCAGTCATCCTTCCACCTCAGCCTTCCAAGTAGCCGGAACTACAGGCATGTACTTCCAAGCCTGGCTAATTTTTTTATTTATTGTAGAGATGAGGTCTCTCACCAAGTTACCCAGGCTGGTCTCAAACCCACAGGCTCAGGCAATCCACTCACCTCAGCCTCCCAAAGTGCTGTGATTATAGACTGAGCCACCGAGCCTGGCCACATTTTCTTTTCTTTTTTCTTTTTTTTTGAGACAGGGTCTTGCTCTGTTACCCAACCTGGAGTGCAGTGTCACAGTTACAACTAGCTCACAGCAGCCTTGACTTTGGGCTCTTGCCTCAGCTTTCCAAGTAGCTAGGACTACAGGTGCATGCAATTAGTGGCATGCCACAGGTCCCAAAACATAGTAGCTGGAATTAGTCATCTGAAATTCTAACATGATACCCTTTTCTCCTTTTCCCATCCCTCTGCTTCAAAAGCCCATTCAAAATGACTAGCACAGTATTTGAGCTTTGCTTTATTTTGTGTCTAATTTTATGGCCTTGAGAAAGTGAAAGATGAAGTGACCATGCAGTCAGTTTTGGAGGACCCTTCATGTTACTATGGCCACAGGTATACTAGTCTTTGACTAAAATAAAATTTAATAGATGATATTTTAAAAGTTATAAAAACAGCCAGGCGTGATGACTCACACCTGTGATCCCAGCATTTTGGAGGCTAGGACAAGAGGATGATCTGAGCCCAGAGGTTCAAAACCAGCCTGGGCAACGTGGTAAGACCATCTCTACAATAAATAAAAAATTAGCCAGGCTTCGTGGCGCTTTGGGAGGCCAAGGTGAGTGGATTGCCTGAGTCCGCGGGTTCGAGATCCTACTGGGCAACTTGGTGAGACCTCTTCTCTACAATAAATCAAAAATTAGCCGGGCGTGGTAGCACATGCCTGTAGTTCCAGCTACTTGGAAGGCTGAGGCGGAAGGATCGCCGGAGCCCAGCAGTCCGAGGCTGCAGTGGCTGGGAGCGGCCACTGCACTCCCGTCTGGGTGACAGAGG